CCGTTGTAGTATAAAAACAAAGTCGTCTCCACAAGGATTAAAGAATAAAGAACCAATTTGGGAAGTTTGAATCACCAATGAAAAACAAAAGGAAAAAAGAAATCAAAGGTCAAATAATTCGGTTTTTAAAACTGTCGAAATTAAACAAGCATTGGAAACTAGCTGCTGCAGACTCTCAACACACCCTAAAGTAGTTGGCAACGAAGACTAGAAACACACGGAAGAAATGAATGATAAGGAAATGGGGAAGGGGGTTTCCTTAGTGCTGCTCTTTTGTTCGAAGGGCTGTCACCACTCAATACTTCAACTAATGCTGCCCAAATCTCCAAGGCTCTTTTCCAAGATACCCTAGATGCAATTTAGTCCAATTCCCACCGTAACTAAAATACTCACAATACACCATCTGTAGGCACTGTATGGTAAACCCCATCCCTAGGTATATCGTTCTTTCTAATCAAGGACTAATACAACTAAAGGAGGCTACTTTACTTAACGAGGGCTCTTCCGAACCTTAGGCAAGAAAACACACTTAGCAAGTAGGCCACACAAGCGTAGTGAGACAAGAATTAAATACACTTCCATTAAACATTAATTAAAGTTGAACAAGACAAACCATGAATAAACAGTAAGCGTTGGGACTATTCCCTCCCTGAAGGTGAAGGTTAGTTCATATTAAAATGACAAAAGAAAATAGTAAAGAGTGAAGATGAAGTCATTGTCACGGGCGAGAAACAGAAAATAAGAAGCTTCCTCAGTTGTACAGTGTAACCTCACGGCACGACCCGTATCTTTCAGCTCATTCTTCGATAAAAAATTCCCCTATTAATGAGGGAATCCTTTCTTTCTTTCTCTCCTCCCAAAACGGTGCTAACTTCCAAGGGTGTCTCCCTCTCCCTGCGGTTGGTCTGCCCTTTTCCTTAAATACCCTGTCTTTTAAAATTAGGGCACTTCTAGAAGGTTGTATGGACACAGTAACTTTTCTAGCTTCAAGAGTTACTACACTGCTACGCGCTCTGGGGCATCCGGATGAACAGCGGGCTGCTGACTCGCTCTTCTCTTCCATACATAATATATACTCTTTGCAAACTTGACAGGACGCCTCTCCTTTTTGATCTGAATTCAACTGCCCCTACACAAACTAACAATTATTAAGCATTTAATCATGAAAATCATAGAAAATGAGAAATTCCAAGAGTTTAGGGCCCGCTCGATGTATTCTCCCTTTTTCTTACTCTTATATCTAGAAATCCTCACATTTTTGCACCTTAATTGTCCTGAATAGCCTGTTAAATACTTTATATTTGAGAGTTATCACACCCCCAAACTTAGAACTTTGCTTGTCCCCAAGCAAGGTTAATTGTAAAACCCCTGAAATATGAAAGGACCTTGCATCAAATGAACGCGCATCTTACATCAAGAACTGCTTTCTGCTTTCACACTTACTGCCAGCATATATTATAGCCTATGAATCTGTTTTCGCTAAAAACATCTACAAGAGAACAGCTAAGTCCTTGTTCTAGCTCTAACAAAGGCTCTTTACTACAGCTCTAGCGTCATCCTACTTTCCTCTTTAAAAACATCAACTCACCTAGGGATACACTTTTCAACTCCCTTTTTCTCGCCTACACCACTACCCTTTTATTACCATTCTAGCTTTTCAACTATGGGCTACTAGCCCTTCCTAGCCCTGCAGCCTCCTTAATTTTTTTTTTTGTTGAATTACAGGACTAGAAAGATTTATAGTTACATTACAAGCTTATCCTTACAAAAACAAAGCAAACGCGCACACCCCCAAACTTAGATGTAGCATTGTCTACATTGCGACTGACAACAAGATATATGATGCTCCCACATACCCCCAAACTTAGAACTAAGAAAAATATAGTTACAGAAAGGGCATTTTTCGCAAGTCAGAAATAGATGGTATAAAGGGACATAAAAAGGGTGTGAAAAAGAAGGATTGACTCTATGGTGATACTAAGGTAGTGATTGGCTTGGAAGGTAAGTTATTGAAGCCTATCAACTAAGTGTTCTCTGTTTTGGAATTGTACTCACAAGGATGCTGCTAGGGCCTTCGTACTAAAACCTAAGCTAGAGCATGAACAAAAACCGTCACTACCTGCAAGCGGATGCTCTAGCACAAAACTATATTCAAGTCTAAACATCTACTGGCAGCATTATTACTTAAGAAAGCAGGGCAAGAACAAGATGCACTGAACAGCAAATGCAAGAACAACCATATTTCATTCATTAAGTACTCAAGATATAATATGGGGCGGGCAACATGATAACACAACAATCCTAGCCTCAGCGAACACAAAAAGATAATAAGATAAAAAGGAAATTTACTGCAAACTAAAGAAAAAAACAAACATAAAGCAAAAGTGTAAAGACTTAAAGAAAAACAAAATAGAATTGAAAACTGCCATAAAGTAAATGCAGAATTGAAAAGATTGATTGATTGATTGATTGATTGATTGGGTTTCCAGATTCAAAGAGATGAAGATGAATAGAGGGGTTCCACGACCTATATAGAATTGCTCTTGCTCTCTTCGTCTTCGGAGCCACTATCCTCCTGAGCCTCTGTGTCTTCTAAACTGGATGTGTGCTCCAGCAGATCCTCCATTGCACGGCGTTGAGCAGAGGGGCCTATAGCATCTGACTTGGTTATGCTACCTAGGAGGCTCTTAAGTTACGCATCGTGAGCTATAATTTGCTCGACTAAAGCTGCCACCATAGATTTTAGCTCTGCCAACTCCCCCCAAATTCTTGCCTGATGGGTCATCATTTCATTGATGGCCCCAATTGGAATAGTGCTTTGCTGCACACTATCATTGGCCATGAGGCGGTCCAGAAGTGCTTTGTTCATAATGCACTTCTCCGTTAGCACTTCCTCATCACTGACTACAGGGGCTTCGAATTTCATACACAGCTTGGAGATAAGATTGGGGAAGAACAGTTGGCCCAACTTTTTGGAAGCGCACTAGGCGATCTCATGGTGAATGTATTCCCACTTGTTTCTGGTGATAACTTGCTGGACGAACGGAGGCATGGGATCCAACTGAAATCCTTTCTCGAAGAAGAAGTCCCGCTTTCTCAATTGTTCATGCGCCTCCACGGCAGCCTGTGTATTGAACCTCTTGAATGCGACATCTTGTGGGGCAACAACATTGGCTCTTTTCTGCCCCAGTGGAAGCTGCAGAGAAGTGACCTACATAGGAGAGACAGAATACTGCCGCTTCCTCTCAGATGAGGCCACTGTCTTTACCGTATTACCTTCGATGGGGCCTTAAGGAGCAAAGGCAGAAGAGCCATCCGGCTTTGGAGGTTTTGTAGCAGTTGCAGCCTTTGCCTTTTTAGAGGTCAGACCTTCAGAAGCTGATTTGCTTGGTCGTTTGGCAGTTCAAGTGCGGGTGGCTGGGCCAAAGGAGGAGAGCTGCTTATTGGTTGTTGGTGAGGCAACTGGAACACGCAGATATGGTGGAGAAGTTATTGGACGAGAGAGATTGGTAGGGGTGGTGGGTGGTGGGTTTTCAGAGTCCTCCTCATCTGACTGTGCTGGAAGAAATTTCTCTGCCTCGGAGATTGGGGCTAAACACAAATCAGCCACG